AACAGTAGAGCCGAGATTTGAACCCATGTTTTATCACTTCTAATCCACAGCACCACAGGGACAGGAGATAGCTATCTAGCATAAGGAGATTTCAGCACAGAAAAATTCTTTATTTCTTTATTTCCTGTATTTTAGAAATGAATATTTTATACTTCTTATTTTGGGGCAATTATTTCTGCTTGCTTTCTTAGCTTTTGGTAAACTTCCCTTTGAAAATATTAGTCTTCCTTTCCATTACAAAATGGAGGAAAAAACGGTGTTTTTATTTCATTCTAATTACAAGGAGAAGTGCATGTGTGGCTGTCCCACTCAGCGTGGCAATCATTATTCTGAAGCTCATTATTGCTGAGATCTTAAGGTTTGGTTTTACTAAGGAATCCCATTCATTATCAAGGGCATGCAGCAAAAAATAGATTCTGGAGAGTTAAATATAGGGAGTCCAGGCCATCATTTAGATGTCAGAGTCATAAAGAAAATGACAATGATTCACAGAGTGTCAGAACAGGAAGAAATCTCAAATACCACCCTGTTCACTTCATTTACAGATGAAAGACCTGAGACCCAGAGAGGTTAAATAACATGCCAATGCCAGAGATCATAGGAAGGTAGTACAGAATAGGGGCAGGGCCAGATCACCTGAATAAAATGATTTTTCTATCCATGACATCACAGTGACCCAGATTTTATTTTGTCAACTTCCTACTCCAAATCCTCAAGTGGAAAGTTTTTAAAAAATGTTTCTAATTGCCAAGTGGGCCGCACAAATATTGGTCTCTTCTTTTGCTTTGTTCCTAGAGTAGAAACTGGGAAACATCTAAGAAGACATGTTTGCAATGGGTGATATTTCTCACATGCCTTTTCTGTGTTTCTTACTCCTTCCTTTTTGTTTCTTACCTCCAGAGATTTATTTTCCCTTTCTGATAGAAGGGTTTAGGCTTGAAGGTGCCTATATTGGTTAAATATTGTAGCAGTTTTAGAACATGGTCCCCAAATTCTTTGACACTCCTCAAAAAGCAAGTTCTGTATCCTCTGCCCTTGACTATGGGAGCTTAGAATTCTTGACTGATAAAATATGGCAGAAGTGAGGCTGAGCCAGTTTGTGAGTCCAAGCCTTAAGAAATTGGCAGCTTTTACTTTCTGTCTCTTAGTATGCTCATTCTTGGAACCCAGCCACCATGTGTGGGAAAGCCAAGGAGAGGTACATGTGGAGAGGCCCCCAGTAAGCTCAAGCTGGAAGCCAGCACCAACTTGCCAGTCACCAGTGAGCCTTCTTGGAAGTGAGTCTTCCAGATTCTTTCAAGCTCTCCCATGTGGAAGAGAGAGGAGCCTTCCCTGCTGAGCTCTGCCCAAATCCCAGATCTGTGAGCAAGTAAATGATCGTTGCTGTAAGCCACTAAGTATGTTTTGTTGTTGTTGTTGTTGTTGTTGTTTTTTTTTTTTTTTTTTTTTTTTTTAGTGAGGGTGGGGTTATATAGCAAAAGATAACTAAAGCAGGTATTTCCACAAAAATGCTACATAACAAACCACTCCCAAAATCATTCGGCTTTAAACAACAGACATTTACTCTCACAGATCTTCAGGTCATTTGGAACAGCTCTGTTTTATGTTTGCCTCCTCTGGGGGTTAGGTGGAGGGGTCGCACTATCCAGGAGAAGCCTTTCTTATGGGATGGCAGAAGTACAAGAGGGCAGGCAAAAGACACAAGGCCCCTTAGGGCCTAGGCTCAGAACTGGCTACTGTTGTTTCGACCAATATGCTATGGGCCAAATCAAGTCACTCAGCCAAGCTCCATGTCAACTGGTGAGGAAATATACTTGGTCCTTGTAATCAGAGGAATTGCAAAGTCACAAGTCCCACAACAAAGGTGGAAATACAAAAATAAGTGAAAAATTAGTACCAATTGTGCACCCTACCACAGTGTTTGAATAGAACTGAGCAACTTTGGAATAGGCTGAACTTATCTCCTTTTTAAAGCATTAATAGATTCTCTGAGATCTACTATCGGGATGTTTTACTGCTTTTAGCAAATTTAAGAATAAAGTGTAAGTAAATTCAAGAAGAAAAAAAAAGAACTTGGATGCACAAATTTTTTTTTTTAACTTTGAGTGGGCTGGGAAAAAAGTACTGAACTCAGAAGAAACAGCTACTGGAAAAACAATACTTTTTTTTTTTCCTGTTTGAACTAAGCTCTATGATATCTGGAGGTGAATAATTTTGCCTTTGTAAAGTGGATTCTTCCAGGGAAGATGTTTGTCATATTCCCAGTAAAACCGTTAAGTTTCCCATGAGGCTAAAAATACTATTTTGGGGGAGCAGTAGAAAGATATAGTATTCTTCTTTGCCTTTCTATAGATATTGAATATTAAATTGGAAGGTTAGTTTACAGTCTGTGAATGCTTCCTTTTAGATAACCTGATTTGGGGTGATATCAGAAGAAAAATACTGTCGATAGTGGATTTATTCTGTGTCGACTTAGCTAACCTGGAACTATGTTTCCCAGAATTTCCTGCTCTCATACTTTTTAGTTCACATAGGTCACAAGAGACATTTTGGGTAAGATTTACACAGTGGAAGTAAAGCAGTGTCCATATTCTTTTTTATACTTGGAAGGACAGTGCAGGGCACAGGGTGTTGTTGCAATTCCCACACATTGTCACTGATCTGCTGGCTCGCCCTGTTGGTGTAGGGCAGCAGCTGGGCATAGAGCTCCTTCAGTTCCTGCCAGATCTTCTAGAGCTTCTCCAAATCCTGGACCACTTTATGCAGCTTCTGGGGGCAACAGTCACATCTGTCTTTCCTCCAGCTTTAAGTATGTCTTCCCTTTAACTTCTCTGACTCCTGCATCAAATCCATGTTCAGCATTGTGAGGAAGAGCATTGAATTCCCATTTGTGCCACTGCATTATTGAAATTGGAGGCTTGAGAGAAGTTTGAGAATGGCACACATCCTGGCTTGTCCTCATGGGTTCTAGTTTGTCCCTACTTTCCCTTACATTTTGTCCATCTTTCCTTCCCAGTTACCTGTCCTGCTGACGTCAGGCCCAGCACCAGGTGCAGAAGCTACCATCATACAAAAATCAAGCTTCCTTGATTATGTAAGTCAAATTCCTGTAATAAATCCTTTGCATAAGTGCTGTAGTTTTGCTTCTCTAATCAAACCCTGATGTATATTATGACCTTATGTAAAATTCAAAATGATTTATCTTTCTAATATTTCTTCCAAACACTCAAATCTTTCAGTCTATAGTAAATGCTTATCAGATGCCAGGCACTATGTTAAGCATTAAAGGAAACAAGATGAGTAAGACAGATGATGGTTCCTGCCCTGGGAGGCTCAGTATCTGTATATATGCTGAGCTATGTAAATAAACCAATAGCTACTGTTAAATACAAAAGACGTTACAATTATCCAACTCCTAAAACGAATTTATATTCTCAACCCAGGATGCTGTAGTGATTTCTCTGTGACCTGCAATGTCTGGGCATAGTAGCGCTGCTTGATGACACACATGTATGATAATGAATAGGGTAACATGGCAATTATTTGCCATGATATTCCAGTGACATGTCACAGTCTTAAATTGCCTAGCAATGCTGGAACAAATTTTTCCAGTGCCCAGAGCATAATGCCAGAACTATATAAAAGTAATACTACTGGCCAGGCGTGGTGGCTCACACCTGTAATCCCAGCACTTTGGGAGGCCAAGGTGGGCGAATCATGAGGTCAGGAGTTCAAGACCAGACTGACTAACATGATGAAACCCCATCTCTACTAAAAAAAAAAAAAAGAAGTAGTACTAACAATAAAACCATATAAGGCCAAGAGATTAGAAATCTACCCTTCTCACTGGAGAAAAGAAAAATGGTTCCCAGGCATCAGGGGTCTGGTGGCAGAAAGGTGGTGAGTGAGTGTGTGTGTGTGTGTGTGTGTGTGTGTGTGTGTGCAGGTTTCAAGTTATGGGGAGGTTTAGCACCAAACTTAATGCCCCTAGGAAGAGACACAAATACCATATAACTTGCTGGAACAAGATAAGAGGAATCTGTGCAGTGATGCTGCCCCTTGCAGCAGTGTCTTCTATGCACATATTTCTAAGTTACAGGTGATCTCATAATTGGTTGAATATACTATGATAAATCCATGCCACAAAATACTGTGCAACTACAAAAAAAGAATAAGATATGTGTATATGGATTGATGATGGAAAAAGCTCTGAAACACATAAGTGAATCAAGCAAGGGGTCCAGTTATATATGGTCTGCTACCATGTGGGTTTGTAAAGGAGTAAAAATATCCTGTGTACATAGTTGCATGTATAAGTATGGACTATCTCTGGAAGGATTCAGAAAAAAATAACAGTAACATTGGTTACCTCTGAAGGAGAGGACAGGTAGGCTGAGGGACAGGAATAAGAGGAATACTTGTCACTAAATACTCTTGCACCTTTTCCATTTCATGCCATGTAAATTTAGGACTACTTCAAAACATAAATAAATAAAGCAAAATGTAAAAGTTAGGGGGAATGTGGCCACCTGAATGCAAAAAGCATTTGGAAGATAAAACCCACCTGTCCTTGGAGTCCCTCATAGAAAACTGGTGCTCTGAAGGGTGACAATGTGCCCATTGGCTCTGCTACTTACTGCAGCATTTGACCAAATACCATATTTCCAAGTACAAGAAAATCCAAGTTCAAAAAAAGAAGTACCTTGCAAACATACGGCTCACTCCATCCAGTCTGGGGTGAAAAGATTAAGGGTGATTATTTGCAGGGAAGACCATTAAAAATGACAATAGCCACTTATTTGATAGAGCTAACGGCTTCTCTTCTTGACAAACTCCCCAATGTAATGGGGAAACTGGAAGCCTGTGAGGTCATTTTCAAAAATCACTCCATCTATTTACCACATAAACTATCAGAAACAAAGCGAAACACAGCACAACCAAGAATCCAAACATCCTGGAGAGAAACTAAAAGGTGAGTAAGTGCTGAAACAATGGAAAACTCCTGCCTGCTAAGAACTAACAACACTTGTTAACCACCTCATCAGCACACTCAGTCAGCAGAATATAGCCTCGTATGACAGAGTCTCGGGGCTTAAAAAAAAGTTGTTGAAGAAGAGAATCCCATTAGAACCTTCTAAGGACTAGTTCAGGCACTCCCACATCACACTGCATTCCTTAGAGAGTGCAATTCCCATCTCTTTTAGGAGAAGTCAGCCTCTCATTTGCTTGTTCGATCACAGATATTTCCACCTTCATGTCTGTCAAACCACCAACACAGAAATTCCACAAGCAGCTGCCTTTTCATCTGGAAGAGAGAGGCAGTGAAGTCCTCAATCTCCCCTTACAAATCCCCCAGGCCCCAGAGTTTAGAAAGCACATTTTTGAGCACAAAATGCTCAGTCTAGCCCTGTCAGGATTGTAGTCTTGGTGTTTGTCATTATGCAGGTTTTAAATGTTCAGACGGAGAGAGATGAAAGGGCTTAGGACCCTTAGGCGCATGGGAAGTCATCTCACCTCAATTAGCTTTTCCTCTATCCTGTCAGTGGATTTTAGGGGAACATGAAAGGAAACTGCAGCTGCAGGATGCCCCTTTGGCCATCCCCCTCCAAGTCCAACCTACTTTCATCTCTTGCCCTAAAAAATAAATAGGACACCGTGGGTCACAAATCTCACTTTCCACCCAGACTCTATTTCTCTCTAGTTTTAAGATAACCTTTACCTGAATTTTCCTCCCTGCACTCATGATCTTTCTTTCAAGAGACCTTCAGTTTATTATACAGTCAAAATCAAATATCCAAGGTAGAAAATGCTCTGCAATGCAAAGCACGTCAACCTTTTTTTCAAAGCATGGTTTTACATGATGATACCATGTTTGAGCTGGCAGAAAATTTAGACATTATTTTTTTTCAAATCTCTCATTTGTAGGCAACTGAAGCTCAGAAAAGTTAATTGACTTGTCCAAGCTAGTTGCTGAGCCAGTAGGAGGAGAGAAGCTCCTTACTCCTGTTGAGGATATTCATCAATAGATTTCAAGGTGATGATTATATGTTTTTATTTTTTATAATGCATACCTTATGCTGAATCTTGAGCATATTAGAGTACTCCATATTGGAAAGTAATTTATCAAATAATATCAACTACCCATAGCATAGTTAAGAATCAGAAAGTAATCAAAAAGTACCAAATACTCTAAATAAAGGTCTTCAAGTTTATATACTAAGCTTATTCACTTCATATATAGGAAAGGGCCTCAAGCCCTAACTCAAAGTCTATTTACTCTAACTTTGTACACAATTTTAACAAGGTTAGATATTTTAGTTTTTCAGTCACTTCATTCACCGAACATTTACTGAACACCTATTATGGAACAGGCACTGTTCTCAGAGTAAGAGTTTAAAGATGAGTAAGGAACAGCACTGGGGCTCACGTTCTAGAATTGTAAATTTACAATTCTAAGGCAATATGTTTGTTTGGAGATTGGTGCAGGTACAATGGGGGCATGCAATCCAGCCTCAGAGAATTGGAGGAGATCTCACAGAGCAGGTGAAGTCTACACTGGGGCTGGGAAGGGAAGTAGTTGTTTACTTGCCAGGACAAGGAAAAAAAGACATTCCAGACAAAGGTAGCAGCATGTAAGGTACAGGAGCTTGCAATAGTGTATGGTGTCTTCCAGGAAGTACAAGTTTTCTATGACTGGAGGATAAGGTAAGTTCAAGGAAAGGCAGGCCTATTATACCATGCCTCGGAGTTTAGACTTTGTCCTGAAAGCAAGAAAGAATCAAACAAAAATGATCATTAAATTTGCATGTTTGAAAGAAAACTTCAGTGACCTGTGGTAAGTGGATTGGATATGTAGGTAACTGTGAGACTGAACAGGTAAAGGGCTCAAATTTCCCTGTAATGACTGTTAGGTATAGTTGCATCCTCCTATGCAAAATGGAGCTGAGATACAGTGTCCACAAATTCCTTCAGGGTCTGTAAATATTAAAGCTCCTAGTCAATACTCTGACCAGGATTATGATGATTATGGTGGTCAAGGTGAACTGAATTTTCAGGTTCCTCTACAATGAAAGTAGAGATGTGCCGTTTGTCCACTCTTACTCATAAGATATTGTCCAAACAGTAGGTTCTGTTTAAATATAGAGCTAGACCAAAAGATCTTCAAATGTACTTTTTACAAAGCCCAAAACCCAACCTGAATGTTTCAAAATCCAGGATGAAAATAGGATTCCAATAATAATAATACTTTAATAATAAAGACACAAAAAGACTTCAATAGGTATTAATCATAAATTTGGAAGCAGAAACTACCTGATCCTTAGAGATAACAACAATTGAAAATAATAGCTGCTTTTATTAAGCTATAGTGCCAGGCACTATGCTTTGCTTTTTAAGTACATTATCTGTAATCCACAATAATCCTACAAAAGGAGATAATAATATCTCCCATTATGCGGTTTTAAAAACACAGTAAAATGATGCTAAATAAACTGCTTAAGATTGTCCTGCAATTACGTAGACAGAACTGGGAAAGAAACTCAAGACCGTTTGAAGCAAAATCTCAAGCTTTATCCACATGGCTATGTATTTGCTAAATTTATGTACAGCGTCTTAATTTACAAATAACTTTCCTGTACATTATTTCATCTCATTATTATCTATGACAGGTTATTGTTATACCCGTTTTGCAAATAAGGAAAAACATGGGGAAGCCATTCAATATGATGAAGCCTCAGTTTTCTCTGCTGTAAAATGGGATAATAATGTTCACTTTGGGTTGTTATTGGAGACTGGACATGTTAACCATTTCTAATTATTAGTCAATAATCAGTATGCAATAAATGCTAGCTGTCATATTGTTATTATCATCGGCAGAGTGATAAATTGCCCCAAATCACACAGCTTAAAGGTGACACATCAAGGACTTACATGTAGGTTTTCCGACCCTATCCCAGTGTTCCACTTCCTACAACTGGATCCAGTGAAGCTTTGGGAGGATGTCTCTACAGGCCAGCATTTAAGCCAGACAAGTAGCATAAGGTGTGAGCAGCAGTCAGGCATCCAAAAGTCATTATTCCACAATACTTTGCAGTGTTCCTTGACCTTGACAGCAAGTTAGAATCACCTGGGAGATTTTAGAAATCCTTATGCCTAGGCCACACCCCAGACAATGATATCACAGTCACTGGTGGTGTGATCCAGGTATTAATATTTTAGACCTGCCCCATGTGCAGCTAGAGTTGAGAACAATTGGTTTAGAGAAAAGCATGGTCAGAGATTTGTTTACCATGAGGTGTTCCTGACTTCCAATGGCCTTGTCACTCACAGGAAGCCTCATTTATAAAATTTTAGCTTCATAGGATGTTCTGCAGCTGGCAAAGTGCTTTCTTATTCCTCTTTGGGCTACATCAAAACAGAGAAGTAGGGCAAATAAAGTTCATACCTCATTTTCCTGATGAGAAAACTCATACGCATAGAATAATTTGTATTATCCAGGGTTAAGCCTAGTTAATGTCACAACTGAGGTCGAAAACCTCTGAGTCTATTACTCAGTTTTGTGCCCAGACCTCTTTTTAGTATACTTCTCTTCCTTTGGATATCCTGAAAGAAAAGGAGTGTTGTCCTGTAGTCTCCATAACAATTGCTTAAATTTCTTTAAAGAATCCCCACTCTATAAGCTAATGGTAAAGAAATTTCTGTTTTAACAATGATTTGTGGGCAAAACAAAATTTAAAGCCAGTCACTGTTTATCTTAATGGTAAAGACAGATGTTAAGAATGTTATTTTAGAGCAATATGATTATCAGACTAATTGTATTCCTGATTCGAGCAGAATCTTGAAATTGAGAAGCTAAATTTCTGAATTCTTCAAAATCAAAACAGCAATGGTCCTTGGGAAGGGATTTGATTAACCACTCCTTGTTGACTTAGTTAAAATCTGACTTCTATATACAATACACATGTATAGTATAAAGGTGTTCATTTCTCTGTAGGAGAGAAAGATAATATATTCATTGTTTTGAATTTCAACTGAGTTGTGTCCTTATGTATGCCATATTTATAGCTGAAAAGGTTACAACTGTTATTGTTAATACTTCTAATAACTGAAATGTAGACAAGGTCAGTGTTTGCTCTTTTAGATAAAATCCCACAAGCAAACCAAGGATCTCTTATTTGAGACCCAGAGAAAATAAAGTCGGAAATATGTTTTCCAATGGAGGGTGAAAGTAAATAAGCCTGAAGAGACTATTAGGGGAAAGTCAGTATGGATTTAGCATCAGCTTGGAAAGACTAGTGTCCTGGTTGCTAATTCTAGCCATCCTTCACTTTCTATTGTTCAGTATTTAGACTGTGTATTCCCTAAAGTTAAGAACTATCTATTCCTCACCAGACATTGTATTTGCAAAACAACATGAAAAAATAAAACAAACAATACTGCCTCCCAATCCTTGGTCAATTACACACACACACACACACACACACACACACACACACACACACTTCAAGCTGGGATAATGCATGACATATATCACAAAAACAGGACAAGCATCCTGATCACTGTGTAGAATATTCTCACTTCCCAATTGCAAAAAAGCTTTAGAAACTGCCTATGCTCATATTGTGTGGTGTTCTCCAATCCATAGTAATTTCAGTGTGTCCTCCTCCATCTAATTCTTTGAATGGGTGCTGGCACCTTTTCCTCTTAGATTAGAATCTGTTGGATCTAAAGTATAGGCGAATACACTGTTTCAATTCCTGTCAAATCATTTTGCAGTTACTCAGGAGTCATGCTGCTGCTCACTTAATTATTAAATGTCCTAAAATATCAGGTGTGCAATTTGCAATGAAAATGTAACAATAGGCCATCTTCTCTAATGGGATTTCAACAGGGATGAAACTAGAAAGATAAATCTGGCTCCACAAGTCATTAAGAATATAGGGCATTTTGGTTCCAAAGGGGTTCCTAACAAGGAGAATCATGTAGCAAAGAAGTAAAAAAATATGCAGGTATTTAGTTACCATAACTGCTTACTCCAGAGAAAGATATGTTATAGATTTTGGTGAGGAATATATTTTTAATTCTTGATACATAAATCATGATCTTGTTCACTTTTATGTCAGAAAAGATTTTTGCCCTGTGAATAAACAAAATAAGCTTGGTTTGTAGTTTATTGGAAACTCTTATCCAGGCCATTTGTTGAAAATAAGCATATGAAATTTACCAGGATCCAAACATTGCAAAACTGCTTTCCTTTTTCAGAGTTGCTGGTGACAGGGATGGGTTTATGTGTATGGAGGAGGGACGTCATAGTTACTAGAAGAAAATGGAATCCTGGGGCAGATCAAGAAACAAGCTGAATCCTTTACTGCACACATAAATCATGTTTGGCCTAGGGCAGATGACAATTTGCAAGGCTGACCTATAATTCTTTTTATTCTTGGAATCTCTTTAAACTCAAAACTACTCTTATATAGCCATCTAGAGCCAGTTATTTTTTGTTTTGTTTTTCTTTTTGTGGTGTCTTTACCTCCATTAATTAACAATGATCACAAACAAAACAAGCAAGAAAATTAAATGGATAATGCTAAGTGCATTCACTTTTACATTGTAAAAGTTATCCTAAATCAACATCTGAAGGAAGGGAATTTATTTGACTTAAGGAAAGGATAAGTAGTCCTGCTGCACCATGTCTGTTTACTCTTCACTGTTCTTTTTAGAGATATATGGTCACAACCATTAAGGCAAGCCAAGCAACCCTCTTCCTCCTCAGCAGCTTCATTTCTCTTTACTTAAGAGCAAATCTGACAGGAGTACAGCTTGTGGTTAAAATGTATGTGAGTCTGTACTATACTCTATGAGAATACAAAGGGCTAGCCTTATGAGTAATGGAACTATTTAATGTCATTGGACTGAGAAATTTCATCCCTTTAGCCTTATTCCTCCCATTTTTGAAATTAGCTGATTAAGTGGATAATGCTCCTCAGGTCTCCAGTTAAGATCCCAGCTATCACAATTCTTGCCCCAGAAAGCCTTGAGTTAGGTTCTACTCATCTACTGGGAATGAGTAGGACCTAACTCTACGTAGTGGGGGTTCTTTTCTGAAGATGTGACAACAAATGCTTCTGGAAAAATAAGGAGTTTTTCACTGAGAAACATGATCTGTGCTGACAAGCATTGTAGATTTATTCTGTGTCAACTTAGCAAAGCTAGTACAATATTTATCCAGAGTTTCCTTCTCTGTGTAGTTCTGGGTTAGTGTGGGCCACAAGAGATATTTTGCATGAGATGATGATACAAATGCAGCAGAGCCATCTTCTTCTTCCTCTCGAATTATCAGTACAGGACATAAAGTGCTATTTCAGTTCACACAGGTTCACTCTGGTCTGCTGCCTCACCCTACTGTGGGGCAGCATCTGGGTCATAACTGCTCAATCTCCTGCCTCTTACAGCTTCTCCAACTCCCCCAACGATTAGGTGTTTATCTCTGAGATGAAAGGTGCTAACTTCTGTAGGAAAGCCTCATCATCAATGCTGGAGGTATAAAGCTCATAGTGAGAGACCAACATGGTTCTAGTTCATCTTCATGGGTTCCAGTTCAGCTTTGCAAGTTCCAATTTATCTTTGTTTCCTCTACTTTATGTTTGTATTCCCTTCCTGGCTGCCAGTCCTGAGAATTTGGGCCCCAGCATTAGATTCAGAAGCAACAGCCTCACATGGGCTGTTTAATCTACTTCCACAAATTGCAGAAGGTCAAATTTCAATAATAAATTTTTTAATAGAGTCATGTATAGTTGTAAATATAGGAAAACAATATAGTTGTAATAGGGAAAGAGATAATGACAGAGCTAGACATAGGGATAAATATCTCTCGATGATTCTGCTTTTCTGATTGAACTCTGACTGATACTAAAACCCTAGATCCTTTAAGAACTTGGGGAGCGCCACCTCAAAGGGAAGATGCTGAGCTAATGGTGACTGAAGGAAGGGACTGAGACCTGAATTAATGTCATTTCTGTTGCTACTGTCTGAGGCTTGGCTCCATTGCTGACTTCTGCCTTTTGTTCAAGCCTCTGACTCTCTTGTCTATTGATCCTACTATGATCCCAGACCAAGATGACATTTAAGCCTGCTCTATGAACTACTGTTGCTTTGACCCTTGTTTGTGATCATTTTTCCTTAACCTTATTTCTGAATCTTCTCTCTGCCTGTATAAATGTACCTCTCACTTAAGTTCTCCCACATCTCTGGAGCCTATGATGCTTTTGTGGTCACGTCTCCTGGCCCTACCATCTCCTTACCATAATCTGTCACTGGATGCTGACTTCTGTGCTAAGAAAAATGTCATCAAACAGAAAATTTGAGGTGGGAGGATGGGTACCTGAGATTGAGACATTCAGGATGCTGACCAGCAAAGGCAAGCTTGGGTAGGAGACCACATGGTGGCCACATGGTAACTAAAGAATGTCAGAAAAGTAGGGCTTCCTTAAGAGAACTCTGGGGAGCTTTAGATGAGGCTCTAAAGAAAGAGGAGTTGAAGAGCCAGTTACAGAACTTACCTGTTTCCTGAATCTGTAGAGAAGCTGCCTTACAAGCAAAGTACTTGAGAATGACACTCTTTGCAACCATGAGAATGCCAACTCTTTTAGATGTGACAGGACATTGCCCTGCCTGAGCAGCCCTCTGCAATGAATAACCTAGAATTGAGATTTTTTGTGTGTGTTTGTGATCGCTCATGATTTCTGAAGTTCCAACTCAAAGTTCAAAAACTGGCCTTTTGTGAAACTTTAAATTACAAACAACTCTCTATAAGAAAACAATTTCAGGAGAAAAGCAGAACAGAAAGCTCCACTAATTGTCCCCTCGTCAAGGACACCAAGTTAACAACTATCTACACAGAAAAAAACATCTTCATGGAACCAAAAATCAGGTGACCACTTATAATACCTAGTTTTAACTTCATATCACTGAAAGAAGCACTAAAGAGATAGAAAAAAACCACAGTTCTGAATGGCAGACACTACCCCTCCCCAAGCCCCAGCAGTGGTGGCCTGCTGCAAGAGCATCTCTAGGCTCTGAGGGAAAAAGAATACAACAATTGTGAGGCATTGAACTCAGTGCTGTCCTGGTAGGGCAGAAAAGAAAACCAGTCCAAACTCAGCTGACACCTGCCCACAAAGGGAGCATTTAAACAGGCCCTAGCCAGAGTGGAAGCCCAGCAGTCAGTATTAGAGTTCTTGCAAACCTTATTGCCTAGGGCTACAGTGCTCTCTCTCTCCAAGTAAACATGAAAGGTAGTCTAGGCCACAAGGACTGCAACTCTTCGGTGAATCCTACTGCTGAACTAGGCCAAAAGACAGTGGACTGAGGAGACAGGTGCTATACTGAGACATCAGCCAAGGCAGGCTACACAGCTTGTGACTCCAAAATAGACTCTTTCCTTTTACTTGAGGAGATTAGAGGGACTTTGAGAGAGAGAGAGACTTTGTTTTGAATCTTGTATACCAGCTCAGCCACATCAGGACAGGGCACCAGTTAGAGTCATGAGGCCCCAGTTCCAGGCCCTAGACATTTCTAGACACACCCTGGGCCAGAAGGGAACCTACTGCCTTGAAGGAAAAGACCATGTCCTAGCATAATTCATCACTTGCAATACCCAGGTACTATGTCAAGGGCCTTGGTGAGCCTCTGAGACTTGCTGGCTTCAGATGAGACTCGGCACATTACCAGCTATGGTGTCTATGGGGAAAAACTCCTTCTTCTTGAGAAAAGTAGAGGGAAAAGTAAAAGAGACTTTGTTTTGCACCTTAGGTACCAGCATGGCCATGGGAGGTTGGAGTACCAAATGGGCTCTTGGGGTCCCCGACTCCAGGACTTGACTCTTGGATGGCTTTTTTGGACCTGCCCTTGGCAAGAGGGGAGCCCACTTCCCTGAAAAGAGTTCCAGGCCAGGCAACATTCACCAAAGGTGCTTTAAGAATCCTTGTCCCTTAAGGGAACATCAGCAGTATTCTGGCAGTACTCCTTGTGGCCTGGGATGGTGGTGACTATGGGGTGAGGTTCCTTGGCCTGGGAGGCAAGAATGGCTCAACGTATGCAAATCAATCAATGTGATACATCGTATCAACAGAGTAAAGGATAAAAACCATATGATCATTTCAATTGATGCTGAAAAAGCATTTGATAAAATTCAAAGTCCCTTCAGATAAAAACCTTCAAAAACTGGGTATAGAAAGAACATACCTCAACATAATAAAAGCCATATAGACAACAGACCCACAGCTAGTATCATCCTGAATGGGGAAAAACTGAAAGCCTTTCTTATAAGATCTGGAACACGACACAGATGCCCATGCTGTCACCACTGTTTTTCTGTATAGCACTGGAAGTCCTAGCTAGAGCAATCAGACAAAAAAAAGATATAAAGGGCATCCAAATTGGCAAGAAGAAGTCAAATTATCCTTGTTTGCAGATGATATGATCTTATATATGGGAAAACCTAAAGACACCATAATAAAACTATTAATCTAATTCAGTAACTTTGTGGGTTACAAAATCAACATACACAAATCAGTAGCATTTCTATATGCCAACAGTGAACAATGTGAAAAAGAAATTTAAAATTAATATAATAGCCACACATTAAATTAAATACCTAGAAACTAACTGAAGAAGTGAAAAATCTCTATAATAAAAACTATAAAACACTAACAAAAGAAATTGAAGAGGACACCAAAAAATGGAAAGATATTTCATATTCATGGATTGGAAGAATCACTAATGTTAAAATGTCCATAGTACACAAAGCAATCTACAGGTTAATGCAATTCCTATCAAAATACCAGTCACATTCTTCACAGAAGTAGAAAAAAAACTATCCTGGTATATATATGGTACCATAAAAATCCCAGAATACTCAAAGCTATCCTAGGTAAAAAGAACAAAACTGGAGGAATCATATTACCTGACTTCAAATTATCCTACAGAGCTATAGTAACCAAAACAGTATGGTAAAGGAATAAAATCAGACACTTAGACCAATGGAACAGAATGGAGAACCCAGAAACAAATCCACACACCTACGGTAAATTCATTTTCAACAAAGTTGCCAAGAACATACACTGGAGAAAAAAAGTTTTTTAATAAATGGTGCTGCAAAAACTGGATATCCATATGCAGAAGAATGAAACTAGCCTTCCATCTCTCACCATATACAAAAATCAAATAAAAATGGATTGAAGACTTAACCTTAAGACCT